TATAAAATACTTGAGCACTACAACATGATAAAGGTAAATAATCCAATAGAAAAATGGGCACAGGATATGAACAGACACTTCACTGAAGAAGACATTCAGATGACTAACAAGCACATGAAGAAATGTTCAAAATCCCTAGCTCTAAGAGAGATGTACATCAAGGCAACTATGAGATATCATCTCACCCCAGACAGAATTGTAAAATTTAACAGCACAGCAAGCAACAATGCTGGCGAGGTAGTAGAGAGACTGGAACCCTTATTCACTGTTGTTGGGAGTGTAAAATGGTGCAACCACTGTGGAAGGTGGTATGGCGTTTTCTCAAAAATTTGCAAATAGAGATACCATTTGACCCAGCAATTCCACTACCAGGAATATACCCCAAAGAGACCAACCAACACCCAAGCAGATATATGCACACCCATGTTTATTGTGGCTTTGTTCACAATAGTAAGGAGTTGGAAACAACCTAAGTGCCCATCAACAAATGACTGGATAGAGAAGCTCTGGTATGTTCACATACTGGAATACTATGCTGCATTGAAAAACAAGGAACTCATACAATATTATTAAAAATGTTTGACTCTGGAGGACATTATGCTGAGTGATGTATCTCAGTCACAAAAGGACAAATAATGCCACTGTTGTAAAGCAGGACTGACATTGGGTTTGGGAGGAGACTGAGAAGGATGGGTTCAATAATGTATACTGCATTGAAACAGATGAGGGAGAAAACTATTTAAGAGGGAAAATTATTAGGAATTTTTGTCATGACATGAGTCTAGAGTGTATAGTGGAGTGGACCTCGGGGGAGGGACTGTAAAACAATGAAAGAATTTTTCTTTTACTTTTCCAAAAGGGTAGTGTACTAGAGGGGAAGTTTGGGAGGGGAGAAAAGTGCAACAATGAATGAATGGAAATCCAAAGTCTCTGTACATTTTCATTGAAATGAACAATGTTGTTTTTGTTGTTATGTGCCGTTGAGTTGTTTGTGGCTCATAGTGACCCTATGTACAACAGCCATAAAGCCTGCTCTATCCTGTGCTAATCGCATTGCCTCTGACACACCCATCCCAATTACCCCAGTCACTGAATCAATCCATCTCAAAGAGGGTCTTCCCCTCCTGCACTGTCCCTCCACCCTCCCAAGCAT